TGCTGCTGCACACACTGTAAGGCTGGTTCCCCCTGTACAGGATAACTTACGGGATTAGTTGTGTGCAGTAAAGATGAACTTACTGTTGCAGTGCACATCTGATATTTTTAGTTTGTGGTGTTTTAGTGTCCAAAAATGGTGACAATATTTGAACCCTCCTACTTCTAAGTAGGATACAAACATTTAATAGTATAACACAATATGATGCCATTCATTATGCTTTGGTTGCATGTAGGTCAGACTTAAAGGGGATAAGGGGAAAACACCATACAAACTGAACTGCATCAGGCATGGGTTGGGTTTGAACATTATATAGTACAATCTTGATGGGTCAGGTTCAGATGGCACACTTTCAGGCATGGGTCAAGTTCCGAGAGAAATATGTGGCCTGATCCATGCTCTAATTGCAAGCTCAGTATGTTTCATTTCATCTGTGGTATTCAGACAAAAAAAGCAATTTAAAGACATCACTGTAGACTGTCAGAAACGGCGCGCGATACGGCCGAAAAGTGTTAGGTGAACTCATTAAATGGCCAGACGAGGAAGTAATGAACAAACCCGTCTCTTTAATAAGAGAACTAACGTAAACAAAAACCATACAAGACAAGGTGAAACACAAAACTCACAATCGGTATCAGTCCCAGGTCAGAGTCAGCAAAGACATACATCCAGGGGAATCCAAAACGCGTTGTCCAAAGATAAGTCAGTTAAGCCGATACACTGAAGCAGTCCGAAATAAGAGGGCAAGGCAGAACAGAATAATCCAAGGAAGCAGTCCGGGTCAGAAACACAAAAATACCAATACCAAAGAGAAAGTCAGAGCTGGGGTCTAGAACAATCTGGCAGCGTCCTGGTGGGAGGACGCTGCCTAAATAGAGGTGCAAACAATAACGAAACAGGTGAAACCAATGTGAGTGATGATGAACGTAAAAAGACCAAAACTAAGGTGAAACAAAAACAGGAAGTAACGTCAAAATAAAAGCCGGACAGGAAGCAGTGGAACCGAATCATGACAATTACTGATAATGTCTTATTAAGTTAAATGTATTTCACTTGATAACTATGCAGACCTGGAGTAAGTGTGCAACTTGACAAAGGCTGTTTTATGAAGGACTGAACACTGGCAGTCTAGCAATACCTGTCATCACAACAGGTTTTTTTCTATTTCATTAGTTTCTTTTGTGTTTTGTTTCCATTTTGTTTCTATTTAAGCAGGATTACAAGGTTTATAGGGTTGTTAAAGAAATGTTAGTTCATCCCTAAAGTTACCAATCATCACTTCTTTGGCACTTTTGCCATAGCAGAGATCAGCATATTGTGGCCTTTGGGCCAGATCAGTCCCTTTCCCTAAACTGTAGTAAATTTGACTTATTGGTATTCATCAAAACCTTTACGTAGGTGTGTTGTACAAATGCCCTGTACACACCTGCACTATAATGGCTGTCTGTTTCAAATAACCGGAGAAATCTAAGATGCATATAAATAATTCAAAAGCTGCCTGAAGTAAATATAAATTCCTCAAGAACACACAGAACATGAAACATGTCTTTCATATCAGCATGTGATATCAAGAGAATCGACTTGTTTAATCCAAATAGCTCCCAAATGATAATTAACCACTGTGGTGTCACTCATATCATCTGAGTCTATGTGGATTCATCTGAAAATACCAGGGAGATGTGTAGATGATAAACAAGTACAACCGCACCTCTATCAACACTACAGAAAACGAGAGCCCATTATGATGAAGAACAGCCCCAGGGGTATGGAAACAGCAGAAGACAAAGGAGTTACATGCGTCCAGGAGGCGATAATTAAAATGCTGTCAGGGTAGTTAACATTTGGAGTCAGTGTTCCAGAGAGTGTACAGCATGGCTCGCTGTCACACCTTCCCTGCTGAAAAGGTAATAGGGCCCACCATCTGTTGATCACAGTGGTATTTCTACTGCGAAACACAGGCTCAAGAAAAAGCCCATCAAAAAATGGGACAACTTTGTTTGGCTTACCTGTTTTCTATTCTGTTGGATGCAATGTGATTTTCACCAGTGCTATTTGTTATTGACATGTTTTATATTATCTTACACTCTTCATATAATTTTAAAACTATGACGAACGCTGACACTTATAGAGAAAGAATAAATTTGTTCACCTGTAGAATTTAGGAATATTATCACTATGCATGAGAAACTAGAGAATAATATTATTTATATATTGACTGATATTGACTCCTCATGAGTGAACTCGTCAAACCTAGAGAGAGCTGTAATTATTGTTGGGCGTGAGCAGATGTGAAGAGGGATAGTTACTGGAGGGTCTACCTTAGTGTTGGTCCACAGAGATGCCGGGAGGCTGATTAACAGATTTTTTTAGCAATTTTCAGCAACGATGATGTTACAGTTAAAGTGTAGCTTAGTGATTTGAGGTCAGTTGCGCAGACTGATTCCTGGACAACTACATGAAATGTATAGAGATTTTATGAAGCTCTGCACACATCAGTCATCTTTTACAGGAAGAGCACAAAGCATATTTATCCAATTGCCATAATTTCCTCAAAATTTGCATCAGGTTTTTTGAGTCATAACTCACCCCATCATATATACGTATGTATATAGTACATAGTCAGCAGCATACATAAATACATTTTATAATCAGTGTGATGCCAATAAATGTGTTGGAAGTCATTTCACCGTTCATTATCACTCTTCATAACCTGAGGTATTCTAGTGACTGCTGTCTGTACATAACATCTATGTGTACAGTATAAACAGGACCTGATAATTTTCATGGTGTCAAAATATTTGGCTTAACTTATAGCCTACAGTATAACTGCTTACTGAGACCATAGCGCCATTATATTTCCTGTTAACATCCCTAAAACATCATGGAAACTGTAGTTGCAAAACTTAGAGCATGATTATCCCCCAGATAGAGGTAAGATAAAGAATAATCACAGCAGTCATATACATTCCAGCTCACATGTACTTTTATAGTATTTATCAATAGCTCGTCATATTCTGAAAGTAACAGCATATACCAGCTAAGATGTGGTGACTCTGTGAAAAGCCTGCATTAAAAAAATAAAAAAGAGAACTAAACACTTCAGATCAGACCGACCAAACAACACATACTGTACACTGGAAGAGTTTCAGTATTTTAGGAACATTAGATACTGTACAACATATAGCACTGTATATGACATGCATTTGGCATGGACTGCAAATACTGGCGCATCCTATAATCAGATAATGTCACAATAAATGTAGGTTCTAGTAATTAGCAGCATGTAGGCTTGCAGATTTTGTTGACATTGTTGACCCTAATGGATAATTCTGGGTGTGATTTTGTTTTCCTGCCATTGCCTCTTCATGGTGGCTGCCTTTATTTATCCACATTTGTAATTAAACTTTAACGCTGAACTGGAGAAACATTACAGGGTTTTCCATTTAGTTAGAAACTACTTTCAGGTCATTATGGCACACTTGGGTACCTTCCATGTAATCTCCAATGAATAATGGGGGGGAATTCTAAGAACCACAAATAAGAATGAGAAGATAAATACAGACTGAGCTTGATCTGGCTTTTGACTGAGGAGAAGTCGTTGACTCTTCTCTGATCCTCACCCCAAATGTAATTTTCAGTGGGATTTGACCATTAACCCGATAACACAGATAGATGATGCTCTCCGAAGGTCATCCGTCAAACAAGGATGAGGGAGCACAGTGGTAAGCACTCTGCCAAGCATTTACATCTGTGCAACTGATTTATTTGCATATTTGGATCATTTTGCTAATGTTATACATTATTAAAATGTTCTATATTATTATTACAGATGCAAAAACAGTTCTTTAATTTAGTTAGAGTTAAAAGTTAAGCCTAAATACAGTGTTGGTTGACATACTGTAGGAAAGACATTTACTGGCATTCAGCCATACAGTAACTTGTTAATTAATCAAGCTCATTTGTAAAGTGATGTCGCGTCACATCAATGGCAAGTGGAACACTTTCTCTAAAACGTTCACACATTTAAAGTTCACACTCATAACTTGGCCTTCCCTGACCTTTACACTGGCTGTAAGCCTTCGGGCTAATTCACAGCCTGTTGAACACTTGAGAAAAAGGTCTGACCACTCTGGTTTGGTCTGGTCATCAGTCTGGGGATATTATCAGTATTATTTCAGTACTAACGATTATCTTTGGCTATTACCTGAGTTAGAGTTAAGATTATATTGAGCTTCGTGAGGTGAGTTCTTCTCACTGCTGTGGTTATCAGCTGTGATTTTCTGGGAACCTGTTGTTCAGAGCAGTTGCCCACAGCACTTAAGTGAAAACAAGCCAGCTCAGGTAGCTCAACTGTTAAGATTTACTGGATTAGCCATTTCAGTGGAAAGTCACCTCCTGAGTTCTCAGAATGGTTTCTGCTCCCTGTCAGGCAAAACCCTGTCAATAACTGAATTATACCCGGGGTACTTTAAGCGAGCCTTACAGAGACAGCGAGGGTCTGCAGAATGACTGGAATTTACAGCGTCATTCATTTAGAGCCTTCTTCCTCCAGGAGACCTGTAAATCCCACAGTGCTGCAGGAAGACAGCCTCTGGATCTGTCTGTCTAAGAGAAGACAGTGTCTTCAAACGTCTACATTTATCATAGTGCATATTAGATTTTTTCTGGAATAACCATGTTATTTGTCATATTTGACCCTCAGCTGAGACATAAAACCTTACCTGTGCAAGTTTATCTCAATGATACCTGGGCAGCAGTACACTGTAATTCATGTGGTTTATCTGTCTGGTTTTTGCCTGTACAGGCAGAGAACTCTGCTCTGTCGATGGAAAACGACAATCAGAGGAAGCAGTATGAACACTGTCTGGATGAGGTGAGTGTCAGTGTTCTCACACTTCCTTCAAGAACAAGCAGCTGTGTCATGTGAATCAAATTAAACTTTCCATTGTGAATTTTCATACAGAATTAACACATCTGCTAAGAAAGTTATCACACTGCTCAGTGGCTGTTATCACTTGTTATATGGGATATGGGTTAATAGGGCCCTACTTCACCATCTGGTCTGCTCAGTAGCTTGTATTCTGTGCTGGACCTTCATTAGCCCCTTTTACACTGGCCATTCGGTGCACACATGTTGTGCCTGTAGCCTACCTTTCGGTGTAAAAGGTAGGCTACAGTACCGGCATGGGGGTCAGTGTTGACACTCCAAAATACCTAAATGAGAGAAAGAAAACTTTATTTTGTCATCGTTTCACTGTGGTTATGTTCTAAAGCATGAACAGACACAGACACACCTCTGCACAACCCTGTGGGAAGGATTTTGTGTGCATGCAGCTGAGAAGCAAGCTTCATGTCTGTCCTGCTGTGTGCACCTTGTGTGTATGTAGCGCTGGCCTCAAACACACACCGACCTCAAGGAGGCTACTGTAATTCCAGAATTCTATTAATAAATATATCAAACAAAATTAGATAACGGGCCGTTTGTTTCATTTTCAAACTGGCCGTGAAGAACGTGATGATAAGCATCATGCCTCTAGTACTGGGATTACAGCAGCTGTGTCCTCCTTGGAGGAGGGTCAAGACGCCAGCAGTTTGCTGCGATCTCCGTGTAAAAGGGGCTATTGTCATGGTTACAAAAAGCACAGCGACATCTTGATTAGGTTCAGAGCCGGTGTCTGTCCGAGGTTTCTTCTGTTAAAAGAAAGAAACCTCCTACTGTCACCAAGTGCTTGCTCAAGGGGGATTTTCCTCTATAATACTAATAATAATAGGAGGGTCTAACCCTGTGTGAACTTAACACACCTAAAAGCTCATCATGCTCATCATGACAAACTGAATTAAAAATGAGAAGAATTACCGCACACTGAAAGCTTATGTGATATATTTAGAAAGTGAAGCCAATGTTTTGACCCACCGGTCTTTTTTCTGAGGTCATTTTTTCTCATTTTTGATTCAGTTTGACCACCTACCGTGTAATTATTCAACAGAAATCAAAACTAAATGATTATCACTAGGATTTAGACATCAACAATATGCTGCCTACTCATATCGGTATCAGACTCTGTATAAACAGTTTGATAGTTCTGACCTTCTTGCTGAGAGTTAAGTCAAACACCTTCCCACTGTTTTCAGACTTTATGCTATGTTGAGTGTTTTACCCACAGTAATGAGGGCATGTGGTGAGCAGGAGGTCGCAGGAAGCCGCTTGCTTGGCTTTATGCAAAACATCTAAAGCTCATAACTACATTTTTACCTAGTTTAGTATAGTTTACAGAAACTGAAGTGTAATTCTGGTCTTTATGCAGGATTCTGTGCCACTGTATGTGTACTTGACAATCATAAAAATTAAACACGATGTAACGTGTTAATTAGAGTTGTTGGTAACCATTTCTTCCCACTTTAAACAGAGCAAGGCTAGCCCTTTGTTTCATTTTCAAACTGGCCGTGAAGAACGTGATGATAAGCATCATGCCTCTAGTAGCCCTCGCATCTCTAAATGAAGCGAGTGGACAGCAGAGCCCTGGGTGATGTGAGAATCAGAGCACCATCACTCAGGAAGACTGACTCCTCCTGCATGGAGAGTGTCTGGCTACCTGCGCTCCCTCTTTTTTCTTCCTGACAACACTTTGATTGTCTCTCCCTGCATCTCTTTTCCTGTTTTCTCTATCTCACTCCACCCAGCAAAACAGCTCCACTTTATTAGTTTTTAAGCAGGCTTCACTAATGGGCTTGTTACCATGGAGATTGCTGCCCATGAGAATTTATCATATTCTGGTTGAGGACAGAAATGTCAGAGTTTCTGCTGCTTTTCAGTCTTATTATGTGCATGAATCTTTTTTAGGAAACACATTCAGAGGCTTTCCTGTCATGGTCTGAGTGAGCTGAGGCAAGTCATTTGATAGACAGATGAAAGCAGTGAAAGGAATTCATTTTGGGTCACACAAAGGTGGAAATAAAGTTTTTAATCCAGTGTCAAGATATATTGCATTCTTAGGCTCAGGAAATCAAGCAGATTCAGATTCCAGATTGTGATGTTTTATAGGAATAAAACTAGGAACTTTTTCTCTAAAAATGTACACAAAAGAAACGTTTTACTGGTCTTTTCCTAATTATACAGCGGAAGCTAAACAGGGAACTTAAAGGAAACATCCTCTTAAAAAGACATTTGTTAAGATTTTTTTTCCAGTTGTATTTTGGTTCATTTATGTGCTGTGGACAACATTAGATTTAGTAACTGCAGGCGAGTGATGCAACATGCTGTCAATTTGTCCACACAGTGTCTTACATGCCTCTGAATTCTCTCCGATGCTTTGTACTGGCTGATTTTCATTAATAATAATAATAATAATAATACTTTATTTATATAGCAACCCGCAAAAGGAGCACAAAGTGCTTCACAGAAACACATAAAAAAAACATAACTAGCATAGCAGACGTTAAAAACAACAAGAAAAGGACATATCGACAAGATGGATGATAAAACAGCAGCAAAGGAGATGTCTGGATTAGTTGTTAAAGGCCTGTCTAAAAAGGTGTGTTTTTAGAGTTGCCTTAAAAGGGGCCAACTCAGTTATGAACCGTATTTCTAAAGTTCCACAGCCTAGGGCCATAACTGCTAAAAGAGTGATCACCCCATTTTTTGTAACGAGAGTGGGGGGTGACTAGAGATAGGTGGTCTGCAGAGCGTAGGGGTCTATAGGGAGAGTAGACAGACACAAGCTCCGAAAGATATGAGCGGGCGAGGCCATTAATAAATTTAAAAACAAATAAGAACACTTTAAAATCTATTCTAAATTTCGCTGGAAGCCAGTGCAACGAGAAGAGAACAGGCGTGATGTGAGCATACCAAGGAGTACATGACAGGAGCCGAGCTGCAGCATTCTGTACAAGTTGTAGCTTGCGAAGGAGGGATTTCAAGATACCAACATAAAGGGCATTGCAGTAGTCAAGTCTGGATGTAATAAAAGCGTGAATTGCTTTTTCTAAGTCTACATGAGACAAGAAGGGCTTCACTTTTGCTAGCATCCTCAAATGAAAGAAGCTGGTTTTAACTATGGAGCGGATCTGTTTATCAAAGTTAAAACTGCTGTCAAATATTACTCCAAGGTTTTTAACAGTGTCAGTGACTGAAGGGGTCAGGGCACCTAGCTTGGGTCTCAGGGTGGCCACTGAAAGCGATCTACTCGGTCTTGCTCTCATTTAGCTGGAGAAAGTTTTGAGCGAGCCAGAGTTTGACGTCATGGATACAGTTAAAAAGGGGAACGAGAGCATTGGAGTCACATTGGGTCAGGGGCATATAGATCTGGACATCGTCTGGATAAAAATGAAAGTCTCTCTGCATTTCAAAGCTTCACACAAAGTTTCAAATAATGACCAGACTCATAATAAATGTTTAAGATATTTTTACTCTCTCGTTTCTGCTCTCTGTCTATTCAAGGTGGCTAACCAGGTGGTCCAGGCCCTCCTCACACAGAAGGTTTGTCAATGTCACACACTGCTGAAGCACTCGTAACCCAGTCAGCCGTTAGATTCACAGAAGTGGCTGTTGTAATGACGAGTAGCTGGATGCCACTAACAAAAAAATAATGCTTCCTGTTGTGTTGACATAATCCAGACCAGGTTTTAGAGCATGTGTATCTTGCATGGAAACAGAATTGTGGCCTGTAGCAGTAAAATGAATGTTTGATGCACGTACTGTATGTGAAATATACTATCAGTGGCAGTTATCTGTCCATTTGTTCCCTCTCTGGGGGCTTCTAGGACCTGAAAGAGGAATGTGTGAAGCTACGGACTCGTGTGTTTGACTTGGAGCAGCAAAATCGCATACTGAGTGCACTGTTTCAACAACGTGTCAAAATGTCCACACTTCCTGTCTCCCAGGTAGGAGTACGTGGCATGATGGATACAAACGGACACTGACACATCTATCCTGCTTCAAGGCTGTTTATGTTTTACTTTAAAGAAGAAACAGAAATCTGTCCCAGATACAGTCCCATTTAAATTGTTAGGATGTCCACTTTCACAGTCAAATTTAGAAAGAGAAACGGGTTCGTTTGGGTATTATTTTTAAATAGTGCACCTAGTGTCAGCGAGTCCACCACAGGTCATTAAACAAGCATTGCCAGTTCTTGCCACTTTCATCTTTTATGCTAATCATGTCAGAGTTAGCCTAATAGTGAACATCACCTCGTGATGTTCACTATTGGGGGGGGGCATTGTTGGTAACGCTGCCTAAAGATTGAATTACTAATTAATTCTAATTCTAATTAATTGTATCACTGTAACCATGATAATAAAGGCCTACTGAGTGGGGCCCTTCTAACCCACATCTGTGGACCTGATATCAACTGAGAACAGCCATTGCAAGGCATGATAACGTTGGAAATGGATGTGGACATTTGGTTTCTCATTATCTGCTGCCTGAAACTTGCAACAAAATCTTAGGGGCAGTCATTCCTCATGACAACAAAAGCCCTGAAAAGGGGTTTTGGTGTCACATGCAGTGTGTCACTCAGACAACGATGGGCAATGTCAAGAAGTTCAGTAAATACTGACAAGACTTGGGGCAAGGAGACTGTTTAGGACAGCAGAGGTAAGAACAATCAGCATACAAGGAAGTCATGGTAACTTGTAATGCTGCTGTCACTGTTGTCAATTTATTGTTTACCATTTTGCTGATGCTCATGTATTCTTTAAATTTGAATGTCCTGGCATTCAACAGGGCATTGAAAACTAACAGTTCTGCGTTCTTTCCACTTCTCTTTATTTCAACAGCAACAATATTTGAACAGTATGATGTTCTTTTAACCTTTCCTCTTTTGATCCACTGGTTGGATAATTCTTTCTTTACAGTATATTCTGAGTATTTTGAGGTTTGTTAATGTAACCTTACCTTACTGATGGGCTTGGTTTGCTGCTTTGATCAGTGTCCTACAATAATACGGCAGCACTGCACTGATGGGTAAACACTGAATAAACACACTAATCATATCTATTTAGACCTGAAGCCTGTTCAAAATGAGAACTACAAGCTGGGTAATACCTTCTAGCCATTCATAGTATTTGTAGATTTGTTTTGGAGAGGAGAGTTAATTTTTCTTAAATGTCAAGTATTACAAAACACAACCAAACAAACACACACACACAAAGCAGACAAACAAAACTTGCTCAGCTGCTTCCAGTTTTCTGCAGATCCATACAATTGAGATTTGTTGCAACAGACTGAAACATGTCTCTTCTGGGGATACGTACTGTACCTAAAGTCAGCTGACCAACTCTACCGTGATGGATGATACTATAGATGGACAGATGGTTGGTTTCATACTTAGCTGAATATTGGGAAAATATACACTGTGTGCACAATTATTAGGCAAGTGAGTATTTTGACCATATCATCATTTTATCCATAATTTCCAACTCCAAGCAGTATAAACTTGAACGCTTATTGGACTTAATGCATATCAGGTGATGTGTTTTAGTGTAACGAGGGAGGGTGTGGCCTAAGGAGATCAACACCCTATATCAAGGTGTGCATAATTATTAGGCAGAATGTTCTCCTCTGGAAAAATGGGCCAAAAAAGAGATTTAACTGACTGAAAAGTCAAAAATTGTAAAAAGTCTTTCACAGGGATGCAGCACTCTTGAAATATCTAAGATATTGGGGCGTGATCACAGAACCATCAAACATTTTATAGCAAATAGTCACCAGGGTCGCCAGAAACGTGTTGAGAAGAAAAGAAGCAAATTAACCACCAGAGATTTGAGAAGAATCAAATACGAAGCTACCAGGAACCCATTATCCTCCAGTGCTGCCATATTCCACAACTGCAACCTACCTGGAGTGTCAAGAAGTACAAGGTGTTCAGTTCTCAGAGACATGGCCAAGGTAAGAAAGGCTGAAACCCGACCACCTCTGAACAAGACACATAAGTTGAAACGTCAAGAATGGGCCAAGAAATATCTGAAGACAGATTTTTCAAAGGTTTTGTGGACTGATGAGATGAGAGTGACTCTTGACGGACCAGATGGATGGGCCCGTGGTTGGATCAGTAACGGACACAGAGCTCCACTTCGACTCAGACGCCAGCAAGGTGGAGGTGGGGTACTGGTAAGGGCTGGTATTATTAAAGATGAGCTAGTTGGACCTTTTCGGGTTGAAAATGGACTCAAAATCAACTCTCAGACCTACTGCCAATTTTTAGAAGACACTTTCTTCAAGCAGTGGTACAGGAAAAAGTCTGCATCTTTCAAGAAGACTTTGATTTTTATGCAAGACAACGCTCCATCACATGCATCAAAGTACTCCACTGCGTGGCTGGCCAGTAAAGGCCTTAAAGATGAAAAACTAATGACATGGCCCCCTTCTTCACCTGACCTAAACCCTATTGAGAACCTTTAGGCCCTTCTTAAGCAGGAAATTTACAGTGAAGGTAAACAGTACACCTCTCTGAACAGTCTCTGGGAGGCTGTGGTTGCGGCTGCACAAAAAGTTGATTCTGACCAGATCAAAAAACTGACTATGACTCTGTGAATGGAAGGCTTGTGACTGTTATCGAAAAGAAGGGTGGCTATATTGGTCACTGAGGTTTTCTGTTTGGAATTTCAGAACTGTTTATTTGTAAATTATGAGTTTGTTTATTATTCTCACTTTAACAGGTGAAAATAAATAAGTGAGATGGGAAAATCTTTGTTTTTTATTTAGTTGCATGATAATTCTGCACACTAATAGTTGCCTAATAATGGTGTACATGTAGATATTCTCTTAAGAAAGCCAAAACTTCACTTTTACTACTTAAATGTTCAGGTTTGAGGGTTTGTTAACATTTTGGATTGACCAAGAGCATTGTAGTTGTGCAATAACAAAATTAATCCTCAAAAATACAACTTGCCTAATAATTGTGCACACAGTGTAAAACCCTGAGATGAGTTTGTTAGCACCTCTGTTTAGCTCTGCATTCATAAAGGTACAAGCTGTAATTGACAGAAACGTTGGTTTGTTGAACAGCAAGGAGGATCTCTCGCTGTCATTATACCAGTGGGAATCACACATGCTTGCTGAAGCCAATTACAAGCCACAACACACAAAAGCATGTGCTGTGATATTGAGTAGCCACAGCTTTGCAAATATTGGTGCAGTGTGCTACTTGTTCTCATGCTTTCATCATTTCTGGTAAGTTGCAGGGACCTAATCCCCAGTAGCAATTCCAGTGTCAGTATACTATAATTTTTTGTTTTTGAGCCTTCGGTTTGTTCCTGACACAAAGCCAGTCACTCAGTTGTTTTCAGACATTTATCTTTTTTCAGGGCAAGGTGGCACCTCAGGAAATTGAGAAAATATTCTTAGATTTGAATGTGTGTTATATTTTGTGGTTTACTTTGCTTATTACAACACCAAAACCCTGTAATGTGAAAACAAAACACATACAGTAGACAAGGGTATCTCTGCAGGATATTCATCTATCCAGACATTCTCAGATATAATGTGTGGAGTGGGTCCCATTTTCATGATTCTATCTTTAGAAAACAAAGTCCAGTCCTTTCATTCTATGACTGGAAGCCTTGTTTTACTGTAAATGGTATTTTTGAGTGTGAAACACTGTATGTGGATACTGTAAATTACTAGCAGGCAAATGCTACTGTTTAGTATCAGTGTTTCCATCAATGCAGCTTTGCAGTGGTTTGGTTTTGGTTTATGCACATTTCACACAGTTTCGGCTATAAAAAAAGAAAAAGTAGAAACACTGGGGAAAAAGTAAATATGGGTGCAATGCAACAAGACTTGGCAAATAATTCATGACATACATTCAGTGAAGCTTCTGCTCCACTGGAGAGACTGAACACGGTGGCGCGGCAGCATTATATCTGTGCTTCTTGTGCAATGATAGGCAGGCTGTAGCCTTCCTCAAATGTTCACGAAACAAACAGCAGCCATATTTTCATTGTATTTTCTACTTGGTTTTATATTATTTGAGGCTTGACTGGTTTTGGACTTTTTAATTACATGTCATCTTGTTGTGCCCGTTTCCTCTGCAGTGGTTTAAGAGCATGTGACAGGAGAACTAACACCACCAACTGCTTATCTCTTACTCATAATAAATAGGACTGGGTTTAACCTGCTGCACTTCCTTCTAAGAGGGCTCCCTGGTGTCAAACTCTACCAAAAGGAGGTGGTACATCCTGGCTGCATGCTCGTCAAACTGGCCCAGCTCTCTGTGTTGGTTTGCTGCAGGCCACTTGATCAGATGCTGCCAAGTTAGTCTGCTAGTTGTAAGGGGGCTAAGCGCTTGGAGGTTCTGGGCTCTGTGGTGTGACTCTGGGCCACCTGCATATCAGCAGGCAAGGATCCTGTATGCTGTGCTGTGCTGTCATGCACCATGCATTTCATTCAGGCGTGATGGATTTTAGGGCCAGGCTTGTTCTTGCACACCTTTCCACAAATGCATCATTCATAAGTCATTGTTGACTCCGAGTCTAATAAAATCCCCCTCTTTCTTGCAGAGAGTCCTAATCATTATGCAGAAGATAAGTTAGAAGTTTCTTTGTTTGTAAAAGTGTGGACTGTCGGAGTTCTCCACATGATTCCTCTTCTCTGACAAATTTAAGCCCTGTATTCAGGAAGCAAGATCAAAGATTTGAAGTTAACAACAAAAAACAAACACAAAAAACTGAAGAAACTCTACAAATACTGCAGAAATACCTTTTTCCAGCATGGAAGTCATCAGAAGAATTCCCATATCAGGCCGTTGAGCATGCTGCGAGCCTAGCAGAGCAGGCGATGCCATCCGTCATCTTTACCCTTTTTTGTAAAGGTCAAACTTGCAGAAGAGGGATTCTGTCTTTGTAGGAGAATTATATGTACTACCGAGGAGATTCTCAGCTGCCTCTGCTGGGAAAAAGTAATGTAGATGGTGACATTTTTCCTGAGAACCTGATTAAACTAAGCCTCATTGTTAATTTACTGTTGAATTAATATTTTCTATTGCTTGTCTGGTTGTTTGCATAAAGAGTGTGTTCATTCAACAATGTTAGATTAATATGAGAATTGAAATGACCATTTACTGGAAAATATACCAAATATGAAGCATATCACAGAGTTTAATATTTGTGGTCATGTTTTGTGTATTTTTTCAGATGCAGGTGTTTTGACACTACTTGCTTACTTTCAAATCATAGGGGAATCATTCGATTCAGGGCTGACACCAAAATATTGCTTCATTAATTTCCTAATGGAACTTATTATATCACTTTTCAGAAAGGTCTGAGTCTGTTTTTCCACTCCTCTTCCAAACCTTTCATCTGAGTTTTCTCTGATTAAATGCTCTCTCTTCTGATTTAATAATAAGAAAAATACTTAACTGATCATTCTCAAGCTGGAAAATAGGCTTTAATGTTGGTGATGATGAAGAATCCCAGATCTTACTGATCTTACTTTTACTACCTAAAATGACGTCTAGATGATTTCTTCTGTGTTTTTGTTTTTCTGCGACCTGGAGGACAGAGAATTTGCACAAACTTAAATACTGTACTTAAGTAAATGTGTTTATTTGAGCAGGGGTGCAATGGCAATTCATTTTCATTGAACTATGACGCCAGCTGCACTGACCTTTATGGAGCAGTGACTGTTGACCGCAGCTGGAATGCACAAAAAAAAACAAACCAAAGTGATGAGGAGAAGAAAATGTCAGGGGTTTTGTTATCCACACTTGTGTATCCACTTGCCAGATAACACAGAGCTAATTATGTATGAATTACTGAATTCAAATTGTTTTCACCATTAGTTATGTTTGTTAGGTTCCTAATCTCTGTGACAGAACACCTGGTCCCAGTCAGGCCGACTGACTCTGAACCAGCTTACTGAAAGGCTGCTCCTGACACACAAAGGATAACAAAAGAGGATGACTACAACTATTTCAGTTTTATTCTAGGCTAATTGTTTCCAGGCTGCGTGTTTTACTGAGGGAATGTATAAAAAAATTAGAGGTGAGTGAGCACAAATAGAAGGTGCATGAATAAGGGAAGCATGTTCAGAGCCACCTGCTGTTTCAGCCACTTGATTCTATGAAAACCATTCAATATTGTAATCAAAGCATCTTAGACAAGTCACTGAACTACAATATCTAATGTTCTAATCAATGTTGTTGTTCAAGTTGCCAAAGTATCAACAGTAGGTTATTGAATGCATTTTAAAACAACACTTGATTCCTTGATTATATTAGACTAGGCTAGCCTTAGCAGTTTTGTCCTGCTCTTTGTTCGATTTGGAGACGTTTATACTCCAGCAAGCCAGGCCACTTTCTCCAGATAGCATTTGCCAAACATGTTGTTTTGTCCTCATCTTAAAAGCCTTTTCTTTTGTGATGACAAAACCTAAAACATTATGATTTTGATTTTATTTATATATCCAAATGTGTTTGCTCCTTTAAAGTGCTTTAAATGACATTTGATATTACGTCTCTGTGAAGTCATACAACAAAGTCACATTGATTTGCCTTTTTGCATTGTCTGTTTTTGTCTGGACACACAGGTACAAGTCCAACACAAACAACAGCTTTCAAGTTGATCTGGAAATCAGTGCGCTCACTGATCCCCACTGACTGTTTTGAAGTCATTCAGCCATTCAAGAGCTAAATCATCTTTTCTTAACCATGTTTCCCTGTTTGCAGATATAAGCTTTATACACTGTTATCATTTATTGCCACATGTTTATTCTAAAACCATGCTTAGATACAAATGAATAATGTCAGTAACACGTAGTCTGGATCAGCACACCTCACTGTGCAGAGCTACTAGCTGGTGCGCTCAGCATGTTTTCCACCATTTCCCTCCTGTTTCCCTTCTCTTCACTGACACCAAAGTGAAAAGCAGTGCATCTGGTTTGAGCCCAGCCCAGCAGGCAAAACAGCAAGGACAGAGGGCAGAGTAGACGGTGCAGACAGCACTGTATAGATGAGAAGGAATTGTTAACAACCAGGGGGTGGATGAGGTGGTAGTTGGTGCGTGTCATAATGAATGAGATAGGAGCAGTGACGATGGCGACTAGTGGAGAAACTTGTGGTCACAGAAGCGACTGAGTGAGTGTAACCTTGCTTTGGGCGGCTCACGGGGATGCATCACTGAATTATGATGAGACGGTGGAATTTAAAGCGAACTCCAGAGTCCATTGCCCTTGTGTCTGAACCAGGAGCCTGGTTCGGTGGAAGTTAATCTGAAAATAGCTTAATAACAAATGACCACTTCCATATCCTGGACAGGTCATGAGTTCACACTTTCTTCCTCCAGACTTTAAGTAATAAATGAAAGATGTGTGGCATTCACTGAAGGTTTCTAAAACACTGCATTACCCCTGGTATTTTGAGTAATACAAAAATTAACAAGTAAATCAGGCAATATTCTATGATTTTGTAACTGCCACCAAATTTTATTAAAAGCCCCAAATCATCAGCGATTGTATCCTGCTTATAAACATTGTGTGTGAACCCTAAATCTAGTACAGTTTTTGTTACTTAATGTGCTATTTAATATCAGAGAAGTACATACTTTGATTACTCAGCAGAATTGTTTCACACAATTATTTGATCGCTAAAAGAAATTATATAATTTAATTAAGTGGGTAAAGTGTGCAGGGGGGTTATGTCTAATTAAAATTCACTATACCTTTCCAAAATCCGGCACTAAAATGTATGGAGCCATATATACTGTGCGGTGCCTGGGATAAGAGCATAAGCTGCAGACCCCCCAGTTGACAAGCAACATACGGTATTATTTTGACTGAGAAGGAAGGATGGCTGTAGGAGCACTATGATTCTTTACACAGGTTTGTAGGCCTCTTTATGTGCAGTGTATCTGAGACCATCATTAGCAGATAAGATTCATCCCTTGAAGCTGCAGTATGTTGTAATTATTAAAAATATTCCACCAATTTACCTTTTTTATAGATGCCATACTTTGATTTCTGCTACTACATTTCCTTTTAGCTTCGACATGGATGAACTTTGAATTAAAAAAAGCTTTTAACTCTAAAAACTAAATGGCAATAGCAGAAAATTTGCAAAGATGTCAGTATTAAACTGTCTTCAAAAATGTGACTCATTATTTACTGTGATGAAAGTATCTTGCAATACAAATACAAATTTGACAGGTTTATGTACTGTATACATAGCCAGAGAATTTATTTTTGCCAACCTTGAGATAATGATTCTCTTTCAAAAGGCCATTAGCAAATTTTTCACAGGAGAAGTATCAGAATATGGCTTTAGTGTTGTTACAGTCAAAGAGACAGAATCTTTTTTTGCCCTATAAAATTGTTCTCAGAATTTTATAGAACAGAAATTAAATATTAAAAAAAGTCATTTTACAGAGTGAAAAACACTACATTTATGTCAAGCAGAAAAAAATCGACACCCCTCAAATTAGCTTTAAACACAGCACCGCTCTGATCAAGGGCTTTGTTAAACTGAATCACCCGTGTCAAATCTCAGATAGCCCTCGACAGGCTGGCCGTAATTAGTTCCAAGATGATTGTGTAGGCCCACAGGGTGTCACTGTGGGCTGGTATATGCTTGAATAGCAAGGTACGCGAAAAAGCCCATGTTAGTGAGTTGTTGAAGCAGTGTTCCGAATGGATGTTCAAATAAAACCCTTCACGAAGTCACAAATGAAAGTCTCTGTGAGCTTCATGACACCATGTAAAAACTGTCAAATGTGGCACATTGCTTCTGAAATAAAGGCTAGCATGAATAATCAAATAATAGGTGAATATCACTGAATGGACCAAATCACTTTAGTCCCCAAGTCCCATATGCAATTATTTCCTATTGACATTAATTACTGCTAACAGATGACTCTAATGACTTTGTGAGGATGCCGGCCATGGCCGCCTTGCAAAGGGTCAATGCTATTTTAAATGGGGTCACAACACTTGACACCTTTGGGTTCCTCTGACTGGAAATGGCACCAATGCAAACAGCATGTCCTGCATGCCAGTGAATTTCTGCACTGGATGCTTCATAGCCCTATGGACCATGAAACAAAAGCATTAAATAATGAACTTCTGTAATGAGAACTTTGCCTTAAACTGACTTTTCAGTGCATTTTGATCTCTACTGAGGTATTAATATCAAAATACACACAAAAATCATAACCAAACAAATCCCTTGTCCTCTGAAAGTATTATAATTAACAATTCATTTTCACTTTTGCCTAACATAAGAGTTTGTGGCAAATCAAGTCAAGGTAGATGTATTTATATTTAAAGCAACAGTATGTAATTGTTTGCATTAAAATAACATTGACATATGTTTATATGGCTATGATCTGTCCAGCCAAAGCATGTAAAAAATATGCTCGACAGAACTACAGCATCACCAGAACCCAGCCTGGCTTTCACTTGCTGGCGAGAGGTAAAAATAAATGGGTTTAAAATAAATAAAAGTAGAAATACCACAGTGTAAAAATACTTTGTTACAAGTAAAAGTACAGCAACCAAAATGTTACTTAAACAAAAGTACAAAGAATTTGCATCAAAATATACTTAAAAGTACCAAGAGCAAAAGCCTGAATGAAAGGGTGGGATTTCTACAGTTGGTTAATTTCAAAATTGAGCTTCCTCCTGCTGGTTTTTCCAGGACCACCAACCCTACCTTTAAGTTACTGATGATATTCATCTTTTACTGCACTGTTTTACTAACTTCTGTATAAGCTGGATGATTGGTTGCTGCCTCCATCTCTTTATAGGGTTTTATTAACTTCTGTTCATTGATTACACAATTCATTATTTTCCAGGATGTCCAAAGGAATGGAAAAGCCGGTATACCTGCAGGAAGGTGGCCCAGCCTACTGAGCCTAACATGCCCACGCAGCAGCGGTAGTGGCAGTGGCAGTGAACTCTCTCTTTCCAGTGCAGGTAGTGAGTACTCCAGTGGCTCCCACACTTGGGCAGAAGGACGTGGCTTTTCTAAGCAGGTGGGCTTCATTTATCTTCCACTCAGCTTGTTTCAATTTGAAGTATTAGGAGGTTGTAAAACTAAAGTACTCGTTACCTTCTTTGCAGCATGTTATGTAAAAACAGTTGATCCACCAGTAAATTCAATTTCAGTAACTTTAAATATCTCTTGTTATGCACAGTGTGCCACAAGTCGGGATAAAAGGATGAGTACAGGTTTGGTATCCACCAATCATTCCGCACTTGTCGAGCAGACAGACCTGGGATGGAAGGAAGGCCATATTCTGAAAGGCCTAAAGCGTCTCCAAACGTACAGCTCCAAAGAGGCATCCTCACTTACATCTGTACCACACTGCAAAGACTGTATGACCTCAAATGAGGGCATATACTCACTTGGCGTCAAATGTGGCCTACCAGCCATTAAAGCCAAGCAATTGGCTCCTACAATTAAACCTTTCAAGGCTGAAACGGGGATTGCTGCCCTAGACCCTGATGATGCAGATGATGATTCACCTAAACAAAGTGAAGAATCCAATGACCAACCAACAAAAAAGCTTTTTTGCTTGAAGAAACTGGATGTCACTCTGGATGATGATGGTGATTTTCAAGAAGACCCTGTGAAACTTGCAGGGAGTTATGGTCTATTCCCCTCACCTGTGACAGATAACCTCTTAAATTTGGAGGACCCAACAGTGAAACCTGGTGTAAGCCCAACAGAGAGCCTTGCATGTCAAGAGGAAAAGAACAAGCAATCACTAGAAAAACACAACACATCAGAAATTAAGTTCCATGACAGAAAAAATAACCAAGAAAAGTCAGCTGACCGTAAATCCAGACTTGATCATGTTAAAAGACAACAGGGTAGGCTGGTGATCAAGGAAGTAGAAGCAGGGACAAGTGATGTCAGCTCATCTATTCCACAAACTGTAACAATAGCTCTTAGCTGTATGAATGAAGCCAGACAGCGCAGCTCTTCAGTGGAGGTTGCTCATTGCAGAGACTGGGCAAGTCAAGCTACTGGTGAAAGCCAGGACTACAGCATGTCCGAATCGCTGCAGAGAAAAGCTAAACCTCAGCCTTGTGACTCAGCAAGGAAGGCTTTCATTTTGCGGAGCAAGAGCGCAGATGGAGGACCGGTGCAAGCTAAGCATACACATCCTCCTCTTCACCAAAAGCTTATTAAAGGACCCAGGTACAAAGAAGAGTTGAATCATACTGGGCAAGGTACTCCTAGCAAAAGAACAAATCTTGGTAAAATACATGGTTCAAGCAAGGGAGCAGTATCCAAATTTGATAAAGAGGAGGATATTGTGATATCAGCAAGTTCTAAGTCTCTTGAAAGTGTGCAACAGTGCTCTCCCCTCTCTTGCCCTGTGAAACAATCAAAGGCATTTAAGCCTCCAGGGTTCCATGAAAGCTCAAAAAGTCCAACAAAATCAACTTCGCAAATCATCAGACCTCAATCAAACAATAACTCTGTGGAAGAAAGCATCTATGACAACTTGCCATGCTCTCCACAAAAACAGCGACGCCAAGACAATCACTGTGATGTTTCCTGTTCAGAACTTAGGTCTCCATCTCCCCCACCACCCCCAGGTCGAACTACTTCTCTTCTTAGAGCTGACTGCAACTCCTTACCCAAAGCTTATAAATCTGTAGAACAGGCTCAAAGCTCCACTACTGGGAAGACAACATCGAGCACTACCAAGCCACAATCAAATCAGCATTCCTCTTTTTTACAGCCTCACCATTCCAACACAACTAATGAGCATGAACACACAGTCCCACCAATCGTTGCTGAAGGTATGACGCTGAGAGATAACCCTGCCAAGGTCTGCCATGCCCAGTCATCCAAGATACCACCTGTGCTAGTTCAAGAATCACAAGCTTTAGGGTCAGTCCAGTTATCTAGGGCCAAAACTGCCATATGCCATGATGGTGCTTCCTCTGTACTGCCAAATCAGAGCATCTTACAAAGATCTCAGCAGAGCACTAGTGAGCCAAAACTTTCAGAGGTTTTGACTCAGGTATATTCTAATAACATTTACCATGGGATTGCCAGTTCTCAGAATTCAAACTCTAGACCTGTAAAAATGGCTCTTCCTGTAAATGCTAAATCTCACGAGGCAGTCACTGGGCAGGAAACCAGTAACTTCCTCATTTTTGAAAGACAGAACAAAGATGATGCAAATTCTATTACAAAACATGTCCAGACCTTTCAGACTTTTACTTGTGATCCCCAGGTGATACATGAATGTGGTGCTCTTGACAAAGCCAATAGAAAGATTGAGACGCGTTGTAACTCACTTGATTCTGAACCCTCCATTCAACCTGTGGCATCAGACAGTGGTGTGATGTTAGACTGGGGATTTGATGAGGAGGGCTGGTTGTTTAAAAGGTCTGTGTCAGTGTCAACCAGACCTCTCCTTAAGCCAGTAATGGGAATGAATGGAGCCAAGGTTCGCAGCCAGAGCTTTGGTGCACGCTACATGGATAGGCCAAGCTTCAACAAATCTGGAAAGATTCGCACCCAGATCAAAACACACTCAGGGAGCTCTTTGAACTCTCTTGGTGATATCCTGCCAGGAAGTATGAGTTGTTCCAGTAGCTACCATTGCCCAGTCAATCAATCCCTTTTGAACAACTTCTTGATTGAAGAGGGCCTGACAGTTCCCTCACATTTGGGGTCCTCCAGTGAAAGACTTCAGAGTCTTAAACTCCAACGTGAGCAGGCTAGGTACCTTCAGATTGAGCAGCAGTTTTCCAGCGCCTTTGGTGAGCCAGTTTCCGAAGAACCAGAGAGACAAAGTGCTATAACCACAATTGAAGAGAAAGTGATGCTTGGCATAGAGGAGAACTTGCACAAGTCTCAAGAACAGGAGAGAAACAGTGAAGTGAAGCAAAAATCTGGCTCAAACTTAGCAAATTGGTTTGGTTTTCGTAAGAGTAAGCTTCCTGCTCCAAGTGGCAAAAAGACTGATCCATCAAAAATAAAAGAGGAGAAGAGGGAGCAAAAGATTACATCACTTCTGGGAGGAAAGCTGACAAAGTCTGACAAAAAGAGAGACAAAAGAAAAAGTGATGGAAAAGACTGGTAAGAAGTTTTGTAAATCAGCAATAAGTGTCGTCTATTGATTTTTGTGCACTTAACATAATATTCTGAGGTCTTCATTTCAACATTCAGTGCTTGGTCCAGCAGATTTCTCATTGCCATTGAAGTAATTTACTGCCTCAGATGACTTTGGTCATTTTTGTCAAGTGGTCTTAGATACAGCTACCTGTGTCCTTAGGTTTGAGACCAGTTCAGACACATTTCATACAGAGGATCACAGCTAAGTTTTAACAGACATGGGGTAATTTATCAGTCGAATCACCCTGGGCATGTTGAGTCAATACAATATCAGAGGATCTCAGTATGTAATGGTTTCTTGACAAACTATTTTCTTTCAGCTCTGTGGGTAGAAGAGAGTCTCATGATGCAGTGCGGGCATGCATATCAATGCCCTGCCCAGGAATGTCCCTGAATGATATACAAGGACATAGTGACACCACTGGGGAACCAAAGGTAAATGAAAATCATTGCTCATGATAAAACAGGCAGTTATAGTTATTGGTATGCTGCTGGTTTTAGGCTTCTCAGACACCCCACATAAGTTTATAATACTATGAGACAGGAAATGTTCAAACTGACAGTTATTTTGTCCTTTTTTCCACAAAGATTGTGCAGTGCTGTTGCACTGTGATGCAGCTAAATACGAGCCAGGTACAATGTTTTGCCAAACGGCATTAGTGGCGCCCCCAGCATTGCTCCCATTCAAATGAATGAAGGGGCTGCATTTTGCAATTTTTAATTCAAATTCATTTTGAATGCAACCTTACAGAAAATGAGACACAGTGTGGTTCTCAACTTTAACAAGTGAGATATTCTTTAGGCTAATTCCACCAACTGTCCCTTAAACCTTTTTGCACACAACTTCATCATTTCATTTTTCATTTCTTCGTTCTAATCTTCATTATTAGACCATTAAATATGTCATCGTGTCTGTAATTTGCTTCACTGGAGTCAATTTATTCCTCCAAAGAATAGAAAAGTAATCCAACGAGGTACCTCTTTAAGTCTTCAGAAGGATGTGGAATATAATAAGACTGTCTTTATTAAAGAGTATTATAGAGATGTCTTCATACAGAGGATAAGTACACACAGTATGTTGTAGCCTGACTGCTTGATTTCAAGTTATGTTTCAAAACCTGTGAAACTATGCACATACATGAGGAATACTTGTAGAAGAACACATTGAACATATCTCAGTGCCTTACATCCGTCAACAGAAAGGATGTTGGTAGCATGGTGCCGATGGGGAGACCATGAAAAGAGAAGTGGAAAGAGGCAAAAGCACACAAGCACAATATGGAAACATTATGACTTTGAATTTGTGACAGTTAGGTTCTTCTTGTCCACCAGAGCAACTAAGGGATGATAAGGTACTGTTACGGTGGCCCCAATGTGTAGAACACAACAGCATTTCATAAAGCACAAAGGAATGAGTGGAGTAAGATACTGAAATCATAAGTAAGCATTTCTTTGTGGTGGTTTAAAATAGGATTGACAACATAAGATATCAAAATATGACACCCCATCCCATTTTTTATTTAGTTTTATTTTATTTTATTTGGTGAGTTGGGGTCTGCAACAAATGGATTATTTGTGCCTTCTTGTGATTTCGACAGGTAAGTGTTACGCATCAAGCACTTTGCTGATTTATATCAAGACACTTTTTCTTGAGCTGCTGTTTCATAAAATGATCCTTTGCCCGTTTCTTGCCTCCTTACTATGTGTTGCTCCATGTTTCCTGGCATCTATCATCGTCTGGAGCCTGTGCCACGGAGCGAGAGAAGTGGCTTTACTGGCTATCTTTGGGCTTAATTCAGGTTTTTCAGTTCCACAAAGCTGGCTACATCACCATGGTGTACTATGCACAGCTAACCTGCTCTGGAGCAGGTGAATTTCAAGAGCAGATAACAATCTGTCATTAGCCTGACCACGGTCCACTCAGATCACTGGGAAATTGGAGTCATTCCGACAGCATGCAGACCTGGACAAAAGTGTTTAGAACAGAATACATAATATTTCCCATGTTTATAAATGAACATGCCAGTCAGATGTATCTAATCAGGCCAATCGTTTTCCTCTCCACTTCTCTGACATTACTGTAGCTTTTTTTCCACGTGTCACATGTTCAGAATAGTGTGTTTATCATTAGACCAAAAACAATATACTCACTCAATAAAATCTTAGAATAATTCCTGCATTTATTTACAGTGTTGTAGTGTTTTCTCTGTTGTTGTATTTTATAAAATGTTGGATTTTCTGTTTTGTAGTCTTAATTATCTTCTGAAATATTGTTTAGTGTAATGTGATTGTGTTTTCTGTTCTGTTGTTGTGTTGTGTGCTCAGGGCTACTGTACACTATATGCTGTAGAAGCAAGAACCAAACACTCATATGTACAGCATGTGCATGAAAGAACATGTGAATAACCACGTTTCTGTCCTTGTACGAAACACAAAGATGCAGCTGATGAGCCAGAGAGCTGATGGTGAAAATGGATCCACCGTGAACAGCCCCAACCAGGATGCAGTAACAGGTCAGATTTTTCTATTCTCGGTTGTGTTGGTTTGAGCCTACCTGCTTACATCGACTGCAATTAGTAAATAATGAAGCACTCTTGAACATCTTAGTACCTGAAAATGGAACTTAGTTAACTTAATAGCAATGTTAGCTGCTGTCCTGTGAAACATTCTAAGCCTTAAGGTTTTATCTGTGCTCACCATTTTTGCAGTTTGCAGACAGAAGTGAAGACCAAATAAGACAAATATCTGTAAGTTACATGATGAATAGCAGTGAAACAAACATGCAAAATGCCTAATTTGGTCAGTGTATGCTTTTCCCCTCCATATTTATTTTCATTTTATTTATTCTGACTCTGCATTTATGTATTATTTTGATTGGCAGTTTGAACCAGGGCAAATAAGAGCCATTTCATCATGTTTGTATTTCGTGCAGCGTTTGCCCTTTAATCGAATTAATTCTGTGAAAGCTTGACCGCTCATCTTCACAGATCCATGCACTGAAAATTTGCTTGCACATTCATCCATATGGGGCCCAAACTCCCTCCTGAATGAATTTCCTTTGATTGCTTTTGTGTGGACCACTCTCCTGTTGGACTGGCTATTTCTGAAACATTTTTAGCCACGCTAGCAGCGCGGCTCTAAGTATGGCAATGGCAGTGCTTGGGTAGGCAGGAAACCACTTTGGTAGAAACTGAAATACAGTATCTCAACAACTAGATGCCATGCCACTAAAACTGATATAGAGTAGCCATTTATGATGCACACAAGAAGACCAGCGGGTTGGCATTTGTATGTGTGTTTGATGGAGTGCCAAAGTACAAAGTTTACACATTCATGAATCCCAGAGAACACGGGTTTTCAACTAATTGTGAAATATCTGAAACTTGTAAAAACACTCACACTCCGTTGGACTTGGGGCAGCCGGCCCCTCTGTGACACCCTTGAGCCAGCGATCTCTCTTGCTCACTCTAATACGCTTTTTCCACTTACTACCTAGTTGAAAAGAGAGCGGCAATCTAGTTAAAAGACAAAGACAGACAGAGAGCGGGTGAGTACGAGGGTGAAAGGAAGTACAACTTTATTTGGTCTCAGATTTAATGTGGTCTCTTGCTAACTTAAAAACAGCAGCTTATAAAGCTCTCTCTACTGTTTGAGTAAAGGACTGGTGGCTGACTGGAAATTTCATTGGCCAGAGTCACACCATCACCACAGTGCTGCAAATTTCAAGCACGCCTGACACAGGCGGGCGCCTGCCCTCAAGGGTTAATCACCTCATTAAAATTTCAGCACTGCACTAGCTAAACACACTCATCCAAGCCACTACTTGAGTGAATTATCTTTGCCTTCAGATATGAGCCGACCTACACCATCCAGATATGAACTTTTTGGGACTCATATAGAGCTGGCAGAGCAGGAAATAAACAAGACAAACAAAATACTGTACGAAGAAGAGGCTTTATTTTATTGTAACACTGTGACACGTACAACAAAATTTTGTTTGGAGCCAAGGGCCCTGGGGTGCATACACACCGCCATCACAGGCAACTTGGGGGGTTCAGTGTCTTGGCCAAGGACACTTCGACATGTGGATTGCAGGCACCAAGATTCGAAGCCTCGACCTTCCGGGCAGGAGACGACTGCTCTACCCACTGCACCATTGTCGCCCCCCTGTCCCCAGTGTAGGCTAAACCACTTTCCTCTGTAAATTGTGCACCACTTTGAATAAATAGTCTTTTCCAAAAATTGATATTTTATTATTTTGGCTCTACGACCATATCCTTTGTCTGAGCATTAACCAGTTGGAACACAGACAGAGACATTTTTTGCATTTAGCCAATTAAAATAATGTGGTTTTAAACATACAGTACATTATTTCCATAAAGTAATACCATAACCAAGTTATTATAGGCTGACGGGGACAATGACTAAAACGCAGATGACAGCAGTGACACAACATAAAAATGGCCACAGACACAATGGTTTCAACTGGCACATGCAGTAGCTGTCCAGTATTTATTTAGACATGTTAAGATATGAACAAGGAATCCTAAAATTCTTCTAATAAAACTAAACTGTCTAATTAAAAACAGCCTTGTCCTACAACAGGTAAAAGACATTTTCCACAGAACTATATTCAAAGCATTATCGTGCTATATTTGAAAAATTTGCAATGACCGAGAAGTTACTGATTGAGATTGGTACAAGAGGCCATGTGAGGAGAACAACAGCCTCAGCCTGCATGTTAGCAGCTTGCTGAAACCAATCAATTCTGTGATTCTACCTTTCTAGGGAAGACTGTCACAGTGGTTCTTGTTAACTTCCAACTTAAAGAACAAACTGATCAATAATGTCTCTGGTCAGTGTCTTTTCAATTCAATTATTTGTCCTTGTTTACAACAGGACAAGAGCTGAGGTGGCTAAGTCATTTCTATCTAAAGTGGTGCTTAACTAAGAGACACAGATATTTAAATGGACGCTGCAATAGACAATCACTCTGGATGAAAGTAAAGTTGCCAGGGTGAGGCCAAGACATGCTTTCTGCACTAAATTGCTGCTATAAGGTCACATTTTGTCTGTTTTCCTTGTCTAAGACTTGATTTCCATGACAATAAATAGTGGCAATTAGCATCAATATTTGTACTCATATCCTATCCAGTTTCATGTTTTAACATAGCAAGACTTGTAATGTGACCCATTTGAAAACTCAGTTAATTTCAACAGTCTAGATGAAACTGAGAAAAAGGTGAGAGAAAACAAGCTTGTATAAACCTAGAGGAGGGGTATAAGCATGAACATCTTAATTAACTAAGCGGGAGCAGCCATTGTCTGATTGCCTACAGTGTCCTTCTACAAGCCACATATTAAAATATGAGCTTCTATAAACATTGGGTCACATTCACCAATGTCGTCCAACGTGTTTTCTTAAATGTCTTCATAAGTTGTTCTTAAGAAAAGTCAGCATCAGATTCATGAACACCTTTTTAAACCGCAGAATTGTTTGCACCTGTGTTCTTATATCGATGAATCCCATGTGTTCGTAAATTGAAAGCACGTGCCAGTCGTTGCTAATTAGCATAGGTAAAGGCCAATGCCCATAAAAGGGCATGAGACTGCAGGGCCGTGTGCACACATCTCAGACAGAAACGGAAAAGAGAAGTTGAAAAAGCCAGAAATGTTACAACGAAGATGTAAAGCAAGGAAAAACCTGAGCAGTTATGGAGAACAATGAGCTGCCATATTTAGTAGTGGATATAAAATAAAATAAAAAAGACAAAAAAGTTTTAAAAGACCATAATGTTTTGTAAAATAATTCTAAAAATATTAATAATGACAAAACTGTTATTGTAATTTAAATCTTATAACATTATGTAACTGTAGAACTGAACAAATGACCCAGTTATTTCAGATAAATTTGTCACCACTCAAATGTGCTTTAGCTCCTGAGTGTGCGTAGATTCTGTTCTTACCCAAGAACAATTCCCAGATAAGAGAACATCAGCAAATGCCAGAATCTTTGTGAAAATTTGTTAAGAACAGTTGGTAAATGAGACCCAATGATACAAAGTCAACATATTTCAAATGTACAAAACTTCAATATAGGTTTGTAACAGCAAAGATCTAATGTATAATTCTGGAGGTGCAGTGTCAGACTTTTGATTGAACAGTGCAAATTCTACAGTTTTAATCCTCTAGCTGAGAAACAACACTGGGTCTGTCTGACAATTAGGATTTACACATTGCAAAGAAAATACACACATTTGCTGTGTATTTGATTTTCATTTCATATACCATGTACCTTTCATCAGTGCATGCTAGCAGTCGCACACTCATTGAACAACATCTGTAACACAAAGCAGTGGTTTAAGTGGGCTTGATTTGCATTGGCTGAGTCATTCTCTGCAGCTGTGTTGTGGTGTAATTAGCAAAAAAAAAAAAAAAACATTACCTTGCCTTACACTTATATGTTAATTAGGTTGTACTGAACCACTGTTTTCAACTCGGGCTTTAAGAGGAAGCTGCTGCCGAGTTAGAGAGCGTGTTAAAAAAAAGACTAACCATCTGTTGTGTGTCTGCATCAAAATTACCAAAACACTACACTAGGATTAACTGCTTAGAGCTCAAACGAACAGTAAGGATAATGTTGCAGGAATAACAAGGCATGAGGGAAACAATCATACGGTACTGCAGAGAAGATCCATTATTATTGATCGGTGGAGCTGCCCTCATTTGATAGTGAAGTGTCTTTCACTGTTTGCTCAGTTATCATTTCTAGAGCCCTTTTATTCTGCAAGTGGAGCAGTTTTCCACTGATTTTCCGATGAGAGACATTGGTGCACAGATGCAGTACAGGTGATTTGATAAACATGCAAAAATGAAAGAGTTCCCCAGCGCCACTTGGCCCTGCTGTTTCATTCCTGTTGTGCTCCCTTTCTTCCCCTCTACACTGAGCCACTTCAGCCCTTCTCCTTGTGCCGCAGGCTCCAACTGCAAGATGCGAACATTGGACAGTGGAATCGGGACCATCCCCCTCCCTGAGTCCTGTTCATTCTTCTCCTCTATATTGCACCTCCTCCCCAAATCCTCATCAACACCAGAACAGTCCCTCAGCCCTCCCAGTGTCCCTGGTTCCTCCAGCGAGGACGTGTCTCCATCCCCAATGCCCCGCTGGAGAATCCCCTCCACTTTTAAGGACAGCAGCCATGCAGGGGTGCCAAACTCTTTGTCCGACTCCTCCATGACCCATATCCAGACAGTGCCTTTCCCCACTGTGGCCTTCCTCCAGCCAGTCCAACCCCAGTCTGAACCCATTGTGACCTCTGCCAGTGTGTGTGATACCCAGAGCAGGCTACCCAGACCTCCTCAAGGTACAGTAAAGCCACAGTGCTCCAGTCAGAAGCATGGCCATTGCACTGCAATAAAGATGATGCTAGTAGGGCTTTCATCTTTTAGTGCTGTGCAGTCATCAGCCCTCATGTAAGAACATTTTCTTTAAATCTTTTCTACTTTTTCTGAGGTTTGCCTATATGAGTGTTCCACTTCAAGTTAAACAACCTCACACTAAACCACTCATTTCAACTTAATGAAATCATTAGAAATCATTAGGTCGTTAGCATATTCAGCACCCATAAATAGCTAATTAAGGCTACCTGGTCTGCTACACTCATGACTAAGTTTCCTTCACACAAATGTGATCCACACGTAACAGGACCTTCACACCACAGGGCTTGAAGCCATCCTGGATATTGCTGCCACAGTAAAGACCGGCCTTGATTCTTGCCATCTATCACCCGTGGTTCATTTAAAAAGTCATGCTTGGATAAATCCTTAACCATCTGTTCATTCTAAGGAGCACAAGGAAATTCCATGATGCTTCTCTCTTGTCATGTTTTCCTCATGCTCTCTGCTTTATTTATTGTTGTATATATTCCATATACACTGTAACTGCGTGTACGAGATTAGTGAAAGCAGCACTGATCATGTTGTGTCGTCACAGCATCCAGAGCCTTTATCACAGCTGTTCTGGATGAGACATATATTGTGCTTTTGGTTGGTTTTAATGAGTCATGTTGTAAGAATGTATTTACCTAATAAGTAAGTGGCTGCTCAGTTACAGCTGTTACGCTGTTGGCTGAACTAATGCTCATACATGTTTTGCTGTACTCTGGTAAAGAGTGCTAGCTGCTGAAGCGCCCTAGATCCACACACAGTTCAGATTGCTAACCATGTATCTGACTGAAAGCTTTTGTGGTGAAATGCATATTTAAATATTTGTCTCCTGATAAACAGTGAAGACTTTTGGAGGTTTGAAATAAACGTCCTAAACTGTAACTTTATCTCCGGTTTTATTTTCACAGTATTTTAGACCAATGAGGTTGTTGACAGAATTATAAACATGTCATCTTTCAAGGTGTCAGTCACTGCTTCTCCTGCCACATTGAGTTCAGAGCGATAATCGTGCTTTCTTTGAAGATGTCGGGCTGTTTGTGCCACTCCGTCCTCCTACCTCCACATTTGACTCCTCTTCTTGACAGGAAGGGGAATTAAGTTTAATTCCTGATAAGACCTTTGAAATGACTTTCATTGTGTGCTTTTTCCAGGTGGAATGCAACCAAAGAAGTTGACCTATAGCAAATCGAAAACACGAGCCACTCCGAGCCAACAAAAAGAACAGACAAGACTTCAGCTTGCGAACTGTAAGACACAAGAGAAGTGAAAACTATTAGCCATTAGCTGTTAAATTAACTTAGAGCTTTGAAAACTACAAAAGAACACTGTAATGCTGTTTTCACATTCACAGCTGTTCAAACGCTGAGGTCAAAAGACTTTGTGAACTAAAGACATGGTCACAGTTTCTTTCATCAGGAGTTTTGCACAATGAATGATGATAATGTGTAATGAAAAATGTTCAATTTCACTGAGTATTAAGATTAATGTCACTTCTGCTTCCAGTCTCCTTGTCAGACATGGTTGAGCTTTGCCTTTCAGAACTTTCCCTGTAGATGGTAGGTACAGTAAAATGGTGCAACTTTTCCATATTGTAAAAACAGCGCACTTTGCCTCAGAGGTGACCTGAAAGTGATGTAACTGTAAACAGTCATTTCTGTCCCCACTGAGCAGAGCAAAGCGAGTTTAAGGTGGTGACTAATGCAGACATCATTTGCATCTTGCTATAGTACATTAATGCTGACTTTCACAGCGGGTGTGTGTATGTGTGTGTGATTGTAAGACACGTGGGTTAAAAACTAGCCACAGGTTTAAGGGTTCACACGCGACACACACACATTGGGTGTAGTCGAATTGGTTTTATTCACTGTAAACCCTTAGAAAACATCCACCATTTTAAAACAATGACTGGTTATATACAGGGAGTCAGACCTGGTGTCATTTGACCTTAACTGGCTTATACATGTAACTGATGTAACTTCATATCAACAAGCAGGGAAGAAGGTTTTTGTGATCAGCATCATCTCTGTCCATAACATTGAAATCAAAAACTTTATGTTTGCATTTAAACCACAGATACATATTACATTTCCTTCCAAAAACATTTCAATCATCATGACTATAAGTTGCCGACTCTCCTCTGTATAGCTGGTTGTGTATGCACAGGCTCTAGGCACTTGTGTTGAAGAACTGTACTGCAGTTTGTCAGGTAGCCATTTCTGACAAACTAAACACATACACTACACAATCATGCTAAAGTTCAGTATTAAGCATCTCTTACACAAGAATCCATCTGTGTGATTGGGAATTATTTTCACAATCTCTCTGTTATGCAACTTTCCTAAAAGTATGTTGCTTCACTTGAAAGGGCATATTTTTCATTTTGAACATTATTTGCATGACACGGTGCCACAGGATCTCACTCTGCTCTAAATCCTTATTTCAGAATTTCTTAAGCCACATGAGTCAACCTGAAGCAAGGAGTTGAGCAATCAGTTGGATTTATGACTCTAGCTCACATGGAGGATCCCTAAATCCCACAGTTTGGACACTGTCTGCATAACAGGATGAAACACTCAGACCTGGACAACAAGGCAGCTTGGCATCGTAGCTTTCCACCTGTGCTCAGTGTGGTGTTGGTACTGAGTAGCCTCTCGGGGGTTGTTACGGACCCTCTGGCAGCCGTTTTGGAGGTATGGAGCTCAGGGGCAAAATGTACAACTCCACTGTCTCACTAGAGTTTCATAAACATGGTTAATTCCTCAGCTGGTTTCCTCGGAGAACTGAGGATTTTACAAAAGTGTGCTTGGTTAAGGAAAGTGAAACATTCCTGTCTTGGTTTTTATTCATGTAAAAATTGTTACTGTAGGTCAAGGAAAGTAAAACAGTTTTTGTCATTCAGCAAACTTCTTGGTTGCATTTTGATTCAGTCAGTGCTCAGTTACTACTGTGTGGATGCTACCAAAGATCGAGTCTGCTCTTCTGCAGTCCACACACAGACACACATTACAGCAAACCATTTTGTCAGACGTACGTCGTACGTGAACAGCTAGCTAAAGTTGCATGTGTTGATTTTAGCCACTAGGGGGCAGTGCAGCTACACAGTAGTAGACACATAGGCCCAAGATGTTCTAGCTCATTGTGTTGGCAACAACAACCCACATTCATAGATGCAGACAGAGCAATATACAACATCCCACTGCAATATGTTACTGGCCACTAAACGATTCCAGAATTCAGAGTACAATGTTCTTTCTCTTTTTATCTCTCTTTTAGTCTCCACCAACTTTTAAAAACTGTTTTGGGTGTTTGGCTTGACAGATGCTGGACTTCATGAGCCATTCACTTTGTAGCTTTATACTGTGGTGTGAGCGGCGTACAGTGAGTTCGTCTCATTGTGCTGGTTGTACGACCAAAACAATGAACCAGAAGTAGCTGAAATGCTATGCTGAGCCCTGCAGAGTTCTCTTTGGTTTCACTATCCTCAGTGACACCTTCCATATTCCCATCATTTGATTCTATTTTATGATCAAACATACTGATTAATGCAGGTTTAAATGTTTATATGACTAAGCACAGCCAGTTTGCTGCCAGACCTCTTCTAAAATCCTACAGAACCAAGATTATCTGGGTTGCAGATTTACACTAGAATCATTGGGTCACTAATATACTGTATTTTATGAAAAGCCTCATATGGAACCTTATAATCTTAAGGTTACAAGCTATGACTTCCATCCTGAAAAGATCTTAATGTACATGTCATTCCTGACTGAGTCAGGTGGTTGTTTAAAGTCTGCACTAACTTGTTGGAAACCTTTTTAATGTTCACATTGTTAATATTAACTTGCATGCAACCAGCCTCAAGCTTATTCGAACCATAGAAATGCACCATATGAAACTGATATGCTAAAATGACAGAGTTTCATCACAAGAGGTGAAAATTACTGATGTGCACTGTTAAGTATTTATGAAATATGTCACATAATTTGTTATACTATGTAAGCAAAGTCTTCTATAGTGAGTCTGAGTTTCATGTCTGCAGTTATTCTTAGTAGGTGTTGCATCTTTTAAAATGAAACTCATATGTGAATTGCATTCTGCATTTTTATGCATTTTCCACAGTGATGACATCAAGACAAAGCAGTGAATTTTGCATGTAACCTTAGATGTAACGCACCTAGTAGGCACATGCTGTAATGGATGTTGTTGTGCTAGCTCAGGGAAAATATCATTTATTGTTGCTGATAGATGCTGTGGATTAACATACACAACCAGTGAACACGTCAGATGTCACTGTAAAGGTTTAAGTATATTTACTTGTGTTCTTGCTGTTTTTTGTCTGTGCGCTTACCTTTAGGATGTCACACCATGCTCGCTCAGTTTCTCTCTATTATGTATGCTGTGCCCTTCCTGGTAAAGTTTTTGGTGTTATAAATACGTTCCAACATAGCGATGTTCCCCTCTCACACTTTTGTTGGCTGTCTGCCTTCCATGTGTAGATATTTGCCATATTGCCAAACACTGCTCTGAGCTACTGTCATATACAGAAAATGAATGCAACCAAATCCTCATGTCGTATGTGGTCTTAGCCATATTCTTTTGAAACACTAGCAACAGTTTACATGTAGGGTACAAGTGTAAAGCACTATAATGTTGCACAATATTATTAGTCATGTCATCTTACTGTACTTATTTTGGTTCACTTGCTACATGTATATTAAGCTAATACTTGTAAAAATGCAGTGGTGTTAATGCCAGTAGCAGCACACGGGTCTAATAAATGGAATATGTAGCGTACGCAGGTGAGAGGAGGTGTTAATGGATCAGGGATTGGCTGTACTGATACGGGTAGATGGAGCGTGATGTCTGTGTTTCTAAACTGGCTCACGTAATGACGAGCACCACTCTCACAAGAGCATCGTATTTTTCTAATATATACTTAAATTCCCTGTATTTGTACTCAGCACTGAAGAGTGTTACTTACCGTTTATTGCACACCTTTACTTACTATTACAGTGCTTCTCCTTCTAAATGTGTTTTTTTCAGATCCCAATAATTACAGTGCTGTTCTCGTGTACCAGTCATCTTAGCAGTACAAACATAGAACTGTATACTACTGATTCTCCTTGTTTTCTTTGTAAGAGAAAAGAAAAATAAACTATTTCAATACTTATACCACATTATGGATGTTGCCTTGCAGTTTGTTGTATTTGACTCTCTTAATGTAGCTATAAGACGTTACCTGGCACATCCGTCGATTATACTTTGAGTGAATCAGTTGTATAACATGTATAGGAGAGTTTCATGTGTGCCTAACACTCAGTTTCCTTCCTTTGCTTTTACATTTGCACAAGGGCAGTTGGGTCTAAATGAAGTGAAGAAGAAGAAATGAGACAATGCAAAACATCATCCTCCATGACAACAGACAAATGTTTCACTCAGCAAATGGGTCAACTGGGTCTCAGGACGTATCCAAGTCCCTGTAACCTTGTGCTGTCCTGTCAGAATGCTTTAAGTCTTTGACGTAATGACTTACTTTTAATTCATAGGCACTCATTTAACATTTTCCAAAACCAAAAACATCTCATATTTCATTTATGGACTGAGTACAGTTGGGACATTTTCTTCAAAAGGCTCTGCTTCCACTTTTAAGATGCTGGACACATTGTTTATGCAGAGGCTCTTGTTTTATGATCTAATGGTCAGTCATCTTTGATTAGTGTCGCTGTTTAAAAAAGCTCTATGCATATTGGCTCCCGGTGTGCCATCAGTCATGTTATGACACTCAGGAGACGCCATAAAGAGAAACTACAGCTGCTGCATATTTAGCTAAACTCTCGTCAGTGCTGTGTCGCACTCACTGTCTGAAAAACAAAAGAAAGTAAAACTCTTATGTTATGATTTAAGCAGTCAGTTGAAATGTTTTAGGGTAAAATACAGAATCATCTTTTAATCAGTTAACAGCTTCAGTAGCTCCCCATTATGGCTTTTACTTTTCCACCAGCAGGGTTTAATTATCTTCCTGGACATCAGTGTTAAAAGCGCCTCAGTCCCCAATGTAAATCTTCTGTGCCTAAAGTGTAGTTTAAATGACTGTTAGTTAATTCAAAGTTCTGCCAAAGTAGGGATTCGTAACATTTAATTGTGTCTTAATGTTTAATTATGCAGGTTAGAGTTAAGCTGATTAGCACAGTAAATCACAAACAACCTCTCCACAGCCTCTAGATGCGGCGCTGAAGCACTGTTTCATTCACTGATTAAAACATCAGGAATGAAACTGGGAGTTTAGACGAGGTAACTGGAAGAGACTACAATCTAAACCAGCTCAGGGTCCTGTGCTGCAGATCAGCTGTTTGCCTCCAGGTGGGTTTGTTCTGCACTCTGATCCTCTTCCCCATTATGCAGCGGTGTACAGGTCGGTGTAGTGAGGCATATGCGCTATAACTTAGTTTGGGGTCTGGGAAGAACATGTTGATAAGGTGTCAGGCTCAGCACTGAGGGCCACGGTTGTGAAGCAGAGTTGAACAGAAATTGTTCCACCAGGTTTCAGCCCTATATGAAATATTATCCCAGCCTGTACAGTGCTGAACAGACTAATCCATCTTTTGACTATGTGAAAGACTATCCTGGGTTTTACCCACCAACTGTTGCAGCCGCTGTTGTTAGCTTTTCATTTCACAGAGCCTTGTCACCGTGCTGTTTGTGGCATGGTGTCACATTTGAACCACAGAGCAGTGGGCATATCCATTTATCTGTTCATTTATCCCACTTAGCTTCCCCTGCATTTCACTACCTGCAATATTTTCTCAGGCACACGCTGCTTTAAGACTTGTTTTATGGTTTCTTCATTAAAAGCAGTCCTTAGAGGTTCTATGAAAAAACTTAGGTTCAGTCGACTCCTATTTGTTTCCATTAAGGCACAGGACCATGAAACTTATGACACGTAAACAAATAACAGCAGTTCCACAGAGTTTTGCTAACTTTTGGGCAACTTTAAGAAAACACCTGTGCCCCTATAAAGCTACACTTTGGTGAAGATCAGATCACATTCCTCCACCAATTTATGCAGAAAAACAGGATATTGCAAAAAGTGACATTCCTTTTTCTTGCGACTGTATGACTGTGTATCAGATCAAAATCATTTTACTAACCTTTATTTCATCTTCTTCAAAAATAAAGATTAAGTTCTTGTTTTAGGGTTTTAGGTTAGCTTTCCATCCTCACTGTGCCTTTGCCCTAGAGATTGTTTGTTCATGAATGAGAAAGAATCCCCTCATTTTATAATCAAAGTAGATGAATTCTATTATTTTTTATTAGATTCCATCTACTGGGTCAAAGTGTGAAATGAAGCATGATAATAAAGGGATTTTCAGCCCTGAGCAAACTAAAGCTGGGGACTGTACTAAATCCTTTCTGCCAGTTTATAGGTTTGTCTCATTTCTGTTAAATGAGAAGGAAATAAAGCTACTTAAGATTTTAGAATCATTTGGTCTCATAAGAAGTTAGAGTGAAACCATGCTACTTAAGATTTTAGAATCATTTGGTTTCATAAGAAGGAGAGTGAAACCAGCTGCAACAGATGTAGTGGGGTTTAAATACATCATATAATGTCCATAAAAATAATAACATAGACCAGGTAGAAGGCGCATCACTGTCAGAACAACTGACCAGGCAGTACAGCCGTTCACGTGCATGTGTGCACACATTTGTGTGCGTCAGCGGCGGATAAGATACGTGAAGCATCACCAGAGGTGTCAGGCTCACCCTGCCAGGCTGCTGCTCTGTCTCTGCACCTCAGAGCCGGAGAACATCTGTCTCTCATGTTCCTGCTCACGGTGGCACTGAACGGACGATGCGGCTGCTCACTGTCCCAGCTTTGCTCCTCTTCTTCAGCTCAGGTATGGATGCACACCTTGTCCTTCTCACCGCTTGGCGGGACTGAAAGGGTCTGTTAGGCAGTCGTTTCATAGCAAAACTTCCAAAGCCGCTTATTTTTGGAGAGGGAGCTCAGAGACAGATGAAAGAGAGGTGTTCGTGTTTGGCATAAAGTGGGAGAGGGAGCGCGCACAGCTTGGACGGATCTGCGCTGAGCCAGCGCGGTGTTTCTTTAGCAAGTTTCTGGTTTTGGCTCGTCCTTATGATGGTGGAAAACTAAAATGTTGACGCACATAGATCGCCTTTCTTGTACTGTCGTTACCTTTAAGAGATTCTTGTTCCAAACAGGCTGTGACACTGCACCCCGGCGCGTCCTCCATGATCCAGGTAAGTTTTGATAGAAAGTGTAAATCAACCACACAGAGCCCTAAGTGACGCCACTTTAAACTGACATATCTCTGAGTTTGACCTCTAATTTAATGAAGCAGCAGTGCAGATGGGATTTATTTTTTTAATGTGGGACAGCGATGTGGAATATTTATAGACCCTCGAGTAAAAGAACAATTTAACACTGTAAACATATTATATTATGAACAACTGTTACTTCGTCATTTACTTAAAAAAGTAAAAGTGTTCATGTAAATTTGCGTTTTGATGGTGGAGACTTCTTTCTATTCTGGGGGGTAAATTAATGATGAATGTGCATCATATCTTATAAGATAATATTAGATAATATTGTACTAAAGTAAATACCAACTATTTGTTGACTAAATGCTGTGGAGTAAAAAGTGTAACATTTTCCCATGAGCTGCAGTTGAGGTTTAAAGTAGGATCCACTGAAAATACAAGTGACAGTACTTTAAACTGTACTTAGGTTCTGAATGTAACTGTGCACTGGAATAACAATGGCAGCTGTAGTCCTATGAGATTTGATGATTTTGCCCTTTTCAATAGCAGCGGCTTCTTAACACTGTAACAAATGCAACATTCATTCTGGTTTCACACCGCATCATTTCAGAGATTCCTTCTAGTTTCCTGTCAGTCTGGAAAGTGTTGAAAGATGCTTGGTCATTCAGTTTGCATTAAATAGTGACTCTAGCCTGCTATGTGAGAAGAACCCAGAAATAAAACTGAATCTGACTTTGAGAAGAAACCTTGAATTGAATTGAATTATTTTTTATGATACTAGAGAGAAAAATGAGCAGCTGTCGTGGTAATGGTGGATTGATGTAGAGACAATCTGGGGAATGTGATATGATGGAAATGGATAAGACCGTGTGTGTGTGTGTGTGTATCCATTGTGGGGACTGATCCTCAATGCCAGATCAGTGAAACCAGATCACTGGGTTAGGCAAGTAATGGTTTTATGATTAGGCTAAGTCTCCAAGAAATGAATGTAAGTCAGAAAAGTCCCTGCAAGGAATGAGATATAGTATATATGTGTGTGTGTGTGTGTGTGTGTGTGTGTGTGTCGCAGGGCTGGCTCTTCAGATTCAGTGCTACCAGTGTGAGGGGATGACACACGACTGCTCCACCCCAGAGTTCATCGTCAACTGCACTGTGAATGTGCAGGACATGTGCCAGAAGGAGGTCCTGGTGAAAAATGATGGTGAGTTGCATCTCAGTTCCACCTCTTTGCTGAAATATGTGTTTTCATCTTAGCTTATTTTTTTATGAGCACATTTTAGAGAAAAACTGGTGTCAGAGGAGTCTGGGCAGACTGGCCTCATTCTAAGGACAGTGGGTTAGATGTAACCAGGACTTCAACTTTGAATCAAGGGGCTTGACTCAGAATCTCAAGAGAACTTTTTTGGCTTGAAATCAATGATATCATGTGTGTGTTGCACTCTCCAAGCATCATCAAGTTGTTCATTAGCTGGTTTGTGTTGCTCGGCCGATGTGCAGGCAGTAATATTTTCTGAATCAATATTGTCAACAAAAGGGTGTTTTGAAATGGCGCCAGGGAAACTGTTTGTGTTGCCTTCACGTCTGAAGAATCCTTTACTACAAAGCAGAGTGCTGTGAGCAGAAATCAAACTGATCTGGGGCCAGCAGGGACAGGCTCTTCGGTACGCTACAACTCTCATTAGAGGATGAAAGTCTTAGCTGTAGGTCAGTATTTGAAATATATAAACTATCCTGTTTTTATCTGAGTAGAAAATTCTTCAGCTGATGATGTGCATACAACAGAGTGTGTCCTTGTTACTCCTTTACAAAAACCTCCAGTAATGCAAATTATAATACAATGTGGTAGAGCACGACCAATCAGCTGTGGGGGCTGAAATTTGCATGTTGCAGATATATTTTGTATGTTGGCTGTGAAATTGAGATAATCAGAAACAGTAAAAACCCTGAGAGGAAACTGTAAAGTCAAAAGACGTCCACATAGTGCAACAACGTTTTTAGAATTAGCTGGGGTGGAAACGTTGGTACAAACCAAACAAGCAGATCGAGGTCGGCCTCGGTCTACCTTCAAGCGTGCGGTGCAGTTCTGTGATCCTAAAGCTGCTATACCAACCACAGTACTTTGTGATCATAGGTATGTGGTTTTAGCATGAACTCAGAAACCGAACTACCAATAAATCCGGATTCTGATGATGAAGTGATCAGTATTGGCAACATTTATGTAACAGTGGTAACACATAGCCCCAGCTTAAACCTCACATCTGCAGTATATATGAAGAAGAGGGCAGGACCAGGCAGGGCCACTCAGACATGCTGCCGGTTTTTCCCAGTGGCCACTTGTGACATTGCAAAGAAAGTTCTCCTGAAGCATTTTCTCCAAGACCAGTTTTCACTCCTTCTGTTGTGAATGTTTAATTCATGGAGGTTTTATATTTGTAAAACTTCCCCAGAGCCTAGAAAAGTGAGCTCTATTTTAGTGGGTGGAACAGGAGTGTGTGGGCAGGGCCATTTAGGAAAACACTAATGCACATATAAAGAGGCCCAGATCACAAAAGGAGACCCAGAAACTTTTTGGCTCATGCACCAGATGAGCAATTTTTATTGAAGTGCTGGGTGTCATCTTAGAGTTTGGAGTCCAGGTCCTATAATACATCCGTTGTCTTACCTTATATTCGATTCACACAGTTCAGCATCCAGCTGTCAAGAAAAACAAAATCTAATCTGGTGAATTAAGAAGAAGATATTTCAACCGTTTCTTGGGTAGCATGGTACAGTCTCCAGATAAACAACCATGGTGATAGGAAGTGATGCTGTCTTGCTGGTGTAGATATAATCTTCACGAGTAACAGTAAACACCAGAAAGCACTTGGTAAAAGATAACACCGGTGTAACATTTGGTGTCTTTGAAGAAAAAAAAATGTGATGAAGATCCTGACCATATCAAGTAATGAATAACATCAATGAAGACAAATATAACTCATAAAAATAGTTTTTGTCTCCCTTTCTCACCATAAACAGGTTTCACCGTTCTCATCATCTGTTCCTGAAAATGTAATTGTTTAACCTCCTTGGTCGTTGTTTTAGAGTTGACTATGCACTCAGAGCTTCTCTGTCGCTTCAGACGCTGAGGCTGGGTAACTCATAGACACATCAGGAGGTTACCCTGGTCAGTCAAACAGCAGAAAGCAGTTAAATCTGTGTTGTGTTTGTGTCCTCTGTATAACCTGACAGATCATTAAAGTCCATTAAAGAGACATAGTGATCCCACAGTAATGCCGTCAGAACACTGATGGGCAAGATGTCTCTTTTTCATCATGCTTGTAGTCCCCAGTTTGTCTTCAGCCTTCAGTAATAATACTAATAATGCTCATGAGCTCTTTATGCCACCAGAGAACATCAACATACGCATAAGAAGGCTTAAAGTGCAGACTGTGCTGCTGTCAATCACCAGTATGTGATTTTCCTGTGTGAGTCCTGATGAGACACGATGAAATCACCAAAGCAGTCCAATCAGACAGACCTGTCGGTCCCTACAACTTCACGTTTACTCCTTGTGGTTCATTTGTAAAAATGAACACGATCCATTGTTCATGGCTCACTGTGCTCTTTTGGCAGCCAACGTCCTCACTGTCTGCCTCAGTTGTACCACTCTTACAAACCTCAGCATTAAGCAGCTGTTTTCAGTGGAGAGTTCTGACAAACCAAGTGTACATTACCTTCTAGCACCAAACAACAGATGAAGCTGGCGACCAGCTGTGAACATAGTGGAGCATTTAGCAGCTAAACAGTCAGATGCTTTTTTCAGGAGCTGGTGAAGAACCAAACAGGTTTAACTAGAACCGACAGCATGAGACCACGTGAACTCCGGCATCATACTGAGACCAAGCACACAAGACGCAGGAGTGTGTTGAAAGGAAACCAGAGGAACAGCAGTCACAGAGGAAAGTAACTCAGATATTTAGCACAGTGACTACCAGGCAGCCAAAGCATCATATCACATTGCATTAACCACAGCTAAGGCAGGTGTACGGAATACGGACAATGTGGAGACACAGATATGAAAAGCAGCGCTGTGAACGGTGCGCAGTGATGATTTGGTTCGGTGGTCGACTGAGTTTGATGTGTTTTTTTAACTTGAGTAAAACTGGACAACTAGGCCTTTCAATCTATGATTTTGTTGAAGTGAAGCTATTTTTGTAAGATTTGTTGAGTCGGTCTCCATATTTGTGGTCAGATGTGGAGGATTAATTAATTAATTAAGAGTATCTCACAGTTTAAGAGTGAATATGACAGAACTATGGATACAAGTGTTGTTGTTTTAAAGAAATGAATATATATTTGTCCTTCAGAGTGGAACTGTGCTTAAAAGATGTTTAGATGTATTGGTTGGGAGGGTGGGGGTCTGTTTTTATGGACTTGTCTGAGGAGAGGCTCACCCTGAAAAGGTGTTCTGGTGATATTGTGTTCACAAGAATGGGCCAGACGTGAGGCGGCAGTAACCTTTGACCTTTGATCTCTGGCCACCAAAATCTAATCAGTTCATCTTTGAGTCCAAATTTGAAGAAATCCCCCCAAGGCTTTCCTGACATATTGTGTTCACAAGAATAAGCTAGACGGAGAGACGGACAGCTTGAAAACATAATGCCCTCGAGCCCCGCTATCGCCAGCGTGGAGGCATGAAAAGGAAAGTGATGTTTCCCCACTGAGGCGGCCACAAGTGCAAATGATTACTAATGCTCTGAGTTTGCCAGATGTGTAAATAAGGAATGATTTGCTAATACATTAACTATTAATTAAGATAATTATCAATAATTGTTTACTGCTTGTAAGCAGCAAAAAACATTTCACCATGTTTAGGCCAAAAATAATTTATTAGAGACCTAAGGCTGTGTATCAACATTTACTCTGGGGAACAGGCCGTGTTACAGAAGAAATTCTGGCATGTCACTGTAGCAAAAGCACAGGTTTAAATATTGAAACAAATGATGGCTGAATTCCATGTAGCTGCTTCAGTTTCAGGGTCCTGGTTGTGTTCATTCACCTACATTACTTCATCCACATCACTCCTGAAGGAAATGACTAGCTAGTGACCAGTTACTGTAAGCAAACAGTGTCTGCACCTGTGAGGAGTCGCTGTGACACACTGGTGAATACAGTACATGAAGCATTTTGATTAACAGTTTAATTCAGATTCAGACATGTGTGCACAAATCAAGGACCGTGACGTCGCCCGACATGGCGCAGCCGGGGCCACACCCTGGAGCCAGGCCCGGGGTTGGGGCTTGAATGCAAGCGCCTGGTGGCCGGGCCTCCCCTCACGGGGCCCGAACGAGCGACATGGGGACGTCCTCCCGTGGGCCCACCACCTGCAGGAGGATCCGTAAGGGGCCGGTGCACAGTGGATTGGGCAGCAGTTGAAGGCAGGGGCCCTGACGAC